ACTTGCCGGCTACCAGATTGACGCTAGGGGGCGAGGTACAAGACTCCAGGTGTCATTGGCAAGAAGTGCATCATACTCAGCTTGCATAGCAGCACGCCAATTGGGATCTGACAGAGCATCCTGAACAGAGTGTGGCAAAGGCGACATGGGCACAGCGTGGAGGTTTAGACGATCCACGGGCTGCGTAATGCCAGCATTGCCACGCGTGCGCATGGAATGCACATTGGTGACCGGGGTGATGGAGATCGGCCTGGTGGTAGCAGTGCAGCCGGTGCCGCTGGCAACAACCTGCGCACGAGCGTCAGGGGCAGCAGAATCGGCAGCACTCGAAGGCGCCGTGGAGGACGAGGCGCCAGTGCGGCTGGCAACAGCCTGTGCGGGATGCACAGGGGCAGCAACGCTGGTCGGCTAGGGCAGTACAGTAGAACTGGGCAGTAGTGGCCCAGGCGACTGCGGCATAGGGGCATGCTCCAGAGTGGCTACAGGACCATGCACGTGCACAGGGCCATGCACCAATGGTGGTGAACCTGCAGGTGCGGCTACAGGGCCACGCACGTGCACAGGGCCATGCACAGTATGCGGCACGGCGGCAGCTGATGGTGGAAAACCTGCAAGCACAGCACGGGCTCCAGGGAAGGGAGCGGTAAAATCATGTTCATCAACTAAAAATCCAGGGCGGAGGATGCCATGGGTGTGGTGGACATGGCAGAGAAAGGAAAAAAAGATTCATCAAAAACGACATGTCGAGAGATGAGAATGCGATTGGATTGGAGTTCAAGACACCGATAGCCCTTGTGTTCCGAGGAATACCCAAGGAAAACACATAAAGAGGAACGGGGTGCGAGTTTGTGAGGTGCCGTGGATGACGTGTTGGGATAGCAGGCATAGCCAAAAACCCAAAGATGGGCGTAAGAGGGCTGGGTGGAATAAAGAGAGGTGTGAGGGGTCGAAAAAGCGAGGGTTTTAGTGGGGAGCCGGTTCACAAGATATGTCGCGGTGTGAAGGGCCTCAACCCAGTAAACCAGAGGGAGGCTCGCCTGAAACAAAAGGGAACACATAATGTTATTGATGGTGCGAATAGAATGTTCCTCTTTTCTGTTTTGTTGGGATGTATATGGACACGACATGCGGAGTGCAACACCGTGGGAGAGGAAGAACGGGCGGGCCTGAGAATTGTCGAATTCTCGGCCATTGTCGCACTGGACGCTCTTGATGGTGGTGCCGAACTACGTGCGAATATGAGCAAAAAAATTAGAAAGAATAGAAAAAGTCTCGGATTTGAGGCGAAGAGGAAAGGTCCACATGTAGTGTGAGCAATCATCAAGAATAACAAGGTAATACTTATAGCCTAACACACTAACAATATGAGATGTCCAGAGATCACAGTGTATTAAATCAAAATTATGAACAGCCCGAGAGCTGGAGGAACTAAAAGGAAGACGCACATGACGACCAAGTTGGCACGCATGACATATGTGGTCTAGATCATCCTTATTACAAGAAATAACACTGGAACTGATAAGTTTGGACAGAGCTTCACGCCCAAGATGCCCGAGATGACAATGCCAAAGGGAAGTGGGAGCGGCGAGGAACGCGGTGGCGCTGGTGGAGGTGGGGTAGAACGGGTAGAGGTCGCCAGAGCTATTGCACCTGGCGATCACGTTCCTGGTGTGCAAGTCCTTCACAGAAAGGCCAAAAGGATCAAATTCGATGGAACAGTTATTATCGGTGGTAAAACGACGGATAGAAATCAGATTCTTAATAATGTTGGGAGACACCAAAACATCGTTAAGACAAGATTGCGACCCGGGAAAGAAAAAGTGTGTGATCCAGTGGCAGTGACAGGAAGTAGTGCACCATTTCCCACAACGATAGATGAAGGAGTAGATGAAAAAGGTGGGGAAATGGTAGAGAGTTTACCAGCATCCGCGGTCATGTGGGAACTAGCCCCTGAATCGGCGTACCACTCGGGTGATGGAGCCGGCGGGTGGAGCGTCATGGTGTTGAAGGAGTGCGCCAGGGAGTCCTGATGCCATGAGCCCCCGTGGGTAGGATTCTAGGGCGCCGCTGGAGTGACCTAGTGGGCCGGTGAGGGCGCTTGGAAGGCCGGCAGTGGCGGTGGTGGAGGCGCGGCTCCCCCATAGTACGAGCCGGCGCTCCCGAAGGACGGACCGTACTGAGGAGGCGGAGGGCCGTAGGTACTACCATATTTGTCACTGAAACCACCATACTGAGGAACGGTGGTGAACGCCGGAGGCGCCGGTGGAGGGCGCCCAGACCGGTCGTAGGGCCACATCAGTACGGTGCCTGCCCACGGGTGCACGAAGGACGAGTGCATGCCGCTGTGCACGCCTAGGGGTGCACCACCAGGGGGCGCTGATGGGCCACCGCATCCACCGCGTCCGCGGCGGCGGTCATTGCGCTGGCCACCAGTGGGTGCACCAGGAGGGCGCACAGGGGGGAACGTCCCCGGGCGTGGAGGCGCTGGTGCCTCGGGAATCGTCGGGCGCGGAGTGGCAGCAACGAGAGCGGACGGCGGTGATGGTGTCCGGGCATCGATCTCCATATCCTCCAACAGGAGGTGTGTCTGGGCCTCTGCAAACGTCGAGAACGGGCGATGCATCTTGAGGATGGACACCATATGGCGGAACTTGCCACTCAAGCCACGGAGGAGCGTGAGCACCAGTTGCCGATCGCCGATGGGGTCACCGAACTCGGCGAGAGAGGTGGCCATCGACTCGAGACGGCGACAGTAGTCGGTGATGCTCAGGGCGTCTTGGAGGAAGTTGCGGAACTGCGTTTCGAGGAGGAGCGCGCGGGACTCCCGCTGGCTGAGGAACTCGTCCTCGAGGTAGCACTAGGCACCGCGAGTGGGTCGCTGCCGCATCATCAGGGACTGCTGTAGATCGTTGGAGACAGTGCCATAGATCCACGTCAAGACGACGCAATCTGCCTGCACCCATGCCGGGCGCGAGGGGAAGGCCTCGTCATCGAGAACGTGGCGAGTCAGGGCATATTTGCCAAGGACGGTGAGGAACATGCCGCGCCACTTGCTGTAGGTGTTCGTGGCGTGATCGAGGACGACGGGGATGAGGGCCTTGACGTTGACGACGGTAGTGGCCTAGCCCAAAGGGCCTCGTGGGCGCTCTCGTACGCGTCCAGCGCGGCGGCGCGGAGACGGGCCTCCTCGGCACGGCGTGCTTCTTCAGCGCGGGCTTTGGCCTCAGTCGCGAGGCGACGTTCTTCGGCGGCCGCGGCGAGACGGCGATCTTCGGCTTCCTTGGCGGCGGCGGCGGCCGCAGCAGCGTCGGCGTCATCCGCCATCGGGAAACCAGCGGGGCAGGCGAGCAGACCAGCGGCGGCACCTGGTGACGAGGTCAACGACGGGGGTCGGCGATCTGGTGGAGACGCAGGCGATGGGACCGGCGATGCGCCCAGCGACGGTGTCAGCGGCTGGGGCAGCGATCGGATCGGCGGCTGACGAGGGTTGCGGAAGAGTAGCGGATCGTAATCGCGATTGATACCATGTAAACGTGATTAGAATGCTTGCCAATCATATCTTGTACAGGTGTACATATAGCCGGGGTGGCATGCAGCCAACCACACAGGCAAGATTACAGGCACAATCAATGAAGGGCAGCCTACTATAATTACAGGCACAATCAATCAAGGGCAGCCTACCATAAATACATCAGCCTACTATAATTACATTGTGTTAACAGAATGAATTCTTTCCCTGTCTCTGTCTGTCTTTATCTCTCTCTCTCACGAAGGCTGAGGCTGTAAATCGAATAAATTCTTTCTCTTTCTTTGTCCTTCTATCTCTCTTTCTGTCTCATGGAAATCAAATAAATACCATGTGGGGATTTGGTCGACATCAGTTGTCCAAGGAAGGCACCCCTGAAGACTGAAACGGTGGTGCTGCATAAATAATAATAGCTCGCATCCTGCTTTAACTTGGAGCTGTATGTTTCTCCATCTCACTTTGACAGTAGAGAAGCTCCAGTATACTTGCTTCATCTACACAAAAGAGAAAAGCAATGCATCTGTCACCCCTTCCTTCATGTCCACGCAAAGAACCTTTATCGGTTCCGGTTGAGAATTGAAACCGATGATGCATCGTCCGTCCGAGCTGGCACAAGAATGAGTCGAATCAACCACTGCAGCCTGCAGGGGGCGATGCATCGAGGAGAGAGAGGGAAGAACCGATGCAAGACTTGGAGTCGACTCCTGGTGCATAAAAAAATGGATTTGCACCTGCTGGTTGCTGCTCCTACGCCGATTTGAAGGCGGAGGCAGATCTCCGACCTCCGGGGCGCGGCTCAACGAGGCAGATCTCCGACCTCCGGGGCGCGCCGGCTTGGTGTGGTGGCCACGAAGTAGGCCGTGGAGGTGCCGGTGGTGGCCGAGGGCGGGGCCGTGGTGCCACGGAGCTCGGTGGCCGAGGTGGTGATGGACGTGGATGTGGCGGTGGCAGCCATGGCCCATGGGCGAGGCCGGGGCTGGGGCGGCGCGGAGCTCTGTGGCCGAGGTGGCGCCGTTGGAGGCGGCGGCGCGGGGAATCTCCGGTTGGCCGGGGATGCGCGACAGCCTCCCGGTCACGGCGGCGATGGTTGTGCGGTAGGCGGCGGCAGAAAAAGGAGTTTTTTTTTAGAAAGAGGCAGAAAAGGAGCTGGGAGGACTTCAGTGCGTGTTTTTTTTATTTGTCATGTGGGACCCACATTGCTTTTTACCATAAACGGATTCATCCCTTTGGTTGGATTACGTGGCTATACTACTTCCGTGCGACTGTAGATGCTCTAACAAAAAGATCGAAACGGCAGTAAATAATCTCAACAATTTGTTTTGGAAATGTACTATGTTTGTTCATCATCTCACTCTGCCTCTGACGTACAGTGAGTAAAAATGGAGCATCTATGATCTATCTATTCCTTCCTTCATGTACACAAAGAATAGGGAATGAGAGGCATCCAGTCGAAAGCAGCTCTGCTCCAAGAATACTAGGTGCAGAGCTGGTTGCAGAGGTCGTTGATCCTGTCCTGCGACGCGTCGGCGGACGACGCGACGACGTACGTCTGGTTCCTGCCGCCCGCGCAGACGACGGTGAGCGTGTTCTCCTGCTGCATCGCCGTGCACGTGGTCGGCGACGCGTCGCACCTCCACCTCTTGGTCGGCACGCAGCTGAGGTAGTGGCACCACGGGCAGTGCTCGTTCGCGTTGTACCCACGGAACAGCAGCACGGTGGCCACCGTGAACCCGACGACGAGCAGCACGGCGGCGGCCAGCCACAGCACGTACTGGTACGTCTTGTGCTTGCGTTTCACCGAGACCGGCGGCTGAGCAGCTGCTGCCGTTGGTTGCCCGTCAGGTTGTGCTGCTGCTGATACTCTTCTCTGCTGGGTGAGCCAGGCGAATTGCGGGCGGATGAAGAAGACGAAGCCGAGGAGGAAGCCCGAGATGAGGCCGCCGATGTGGGCGAAGTTGTCCACCCTGGGGAGGAGCCCCAGCGCCAGGTTCACCACAATCACCAGCACCAGCGTTAGCAACGCCGCCACCTGAACGAATTAATCAACTGCAATGATTATTTAATCCATCGGGCAAAATCTTTTGGAACCGAGGACGAAGATGAAGCTGATGATGAAGGATAGGATAGGATAGGATAGCAGGGAAATCAGGAAATGCATGATGTATACCTTGTTTGCGTACAGTGACCAGTTTGTTATGAGTTCAGAGAGCATGGAGCCAATGAGCCCGAACAGAGCACCGGAGGCGCCAACGGAGACATTGGACTGTATGAAGAGAGCAGACATCAGGCTCCCGCCAAAGCCAGAGATGAGGTAGACCAGACCGATCCTCACTGCATATTGCATTGCATCATAGGCATAAGTACTAGGCCGACATGAAAATCTGTTCCCTTTTTTTCCTCCTTTGCAGAACAAAAACGAAAATCCTGCTGATTTTCTACTAGAATTTATCAATTTATCAGCATCTTGGATGGATAAGGGAGTTCCAAGTGTGACTGAAAAGAATGCATCTGAGTTGCTAGTTTAAGTCTTTAAGCGAAGTTGGAATGAAGAATGGAGTAAATAATCCAAAGACAGTATGTATGATCACTTACCAAACCCGAATTCTTGCTCGAGGCGTATGCCGATGATTACGAGGCAGAGCATGTTGATGAGCAGATGAACAACTCCGGCGTGGAGCCAAATGCAGGTGATCAGACGCCATCCTTGGCGGCCATGGACAACCTTAGGCACATCGAGGGCACCCATCTTCACTAACCTGGCATTGAGATTTTGAGATAAAAAAAAAATATTGTTTCCAGTTTAGCCTCTGATAAGTACTGTACCTGAACGTACTGGTAACACAAGCAATCAAATCTTTTTTTTTTGTCCGATAGAAAAGGGGGGGGGGTGATGAAGTGAAAGTGAAACTCTAATTTTAATTTTGAAGTGAGAAATGTCATTTATGCCATCATCCACCTACTCTTCTTTGACTTTGCAATGTGTCTTCTGTAATCTAAGTTCAGAGAAGTCTAACAAAGATATCAGCACGCGTACACAGAATAGAAAAATGGACAGGGACATTTGAATCCTCCTGCAGCTAGCGTTCACCAAATCAGGCAGCCCATGAGTGGCCAATCAAAGATACTAGTATACTAACTGAACTGGTACCGACTCCAAAGATTTTTGTGGTCAGAGAGAGAGAGAGAGAGATAGCTAGACACGCCATTACATTTCACATTTTGGGTTGGTTGACAAATTAAACCGGCCGAAGCAATTGCATTGCTTTGCTTTGCACAATGTCTTATGTGCTTCGTCAGTAACTGTCTGTCAGATTCAGGAGGACATCACCGTGGCCCAAAGTCAAATTACCAACTAAGCAAGGAAGGCTTTGCACACAACAGAACTGAACAGGGGCATGCAATGCAATTTGACATACTGAACTCTGCTGAGTTCTTCTTGGGTGGGCCCATCATACATACACTGTACTATAAGTATACAGCATCATGATGAATCTGTGGGATTTGCTGGTTCTTGCTTTTGCTAGTAAATCAAATGGTTTGCCAGTGGCCAAAACCCCCTTTGGAAATTAATTAACTGGGCCGGGCATTGTAGTCGTAGCCGGCCGGCACCAAGTAAAAGTTTTTTTTTAATTTATTTACAGATACATCTAGCTACATTAATAAATACTAGTAAAGTTGTCATCTTTGGTATTGCCAGAATGAATTATCATGTATAGCATTAGCAAATAAGTAGCCTGCTATCTAGAAGCTGATACGAATATGATAGTATGATGGTGCAAGCAAAGCAACCATGGCACACCACCGTAGCATTGGAGGAAAGAAAAACAAAGCAAGAAAAGCAAGCGCGTGGTGGACTGTACGTACGTGGCGGAGGAGGGACCGAGGAGCGGGTTCTCGCGGAGCGGCTGGAAGGCGAAGCGGCCGAGGAAGCCGGCGGCGCAGTTGGAGTTGTGGCGGGGGCAGTCGTTGACGTACATGGTGACGAGGAAGATGGCGACGCAGGCCACGGTGGCGGCGGACACGAGCCACGGCGACCAGCGCCGGTAGTAGGGCCGCGCCCTGATCACCTGCTGCTGGTGGTGGCGGTGGCGGTGGTGGTGCGGGGGCCTGCTGGCGGCGGCGCTGGTGCTGGTAGGCAAGGAGGAGGCGCCCTGCTGGTGGGAGTGGGAGTGGGAGAAGGAGGACGGCCGCTCCACCAGCACCTGGACGTCCTCCTCATCGCCGCCGCCCGCGGGCTTCATGGATGGATGGATGGATCGGCGGGCGGCGCTCGGTGCGGTGGTGCGTTAGTTGTGCCCCGGCACGCAGGCAGGCAGACCGGCCGGCGACGTTTTGTTGTGAGTTGTGCGGATATGATGTTGGATCGATGTGTGTTGTCGTGTGGGATTGATGTTTAATTGTTGGAGAAGACAAGAACAAGATGATGATGATGGATGGGATGGGAATTGGCCGGCCGGCAGGCCAGCCGGCGTTGGAAAAGGGAAAAGGGGGCCGGGAGAGCGTGAGGAGGAAGGACACGAATCACTCCGATCGATCTGTAGCCTGCCTGCCTCTAGTAGCAAGGAAGAAAGGAAGGCGTGTAGCAGAGGAGGAAGCAGGGCAGGGCAGCTGGGCAGGTGAGGTAGACAGACTGCACGAGCTACAAAAGGAGAAGCAGCTTTCCTTCCTTCCTTCCTTCAATTCCGTGATTAATTGCTTCCTTGTTTGTTATACTCCTATTGTATTCCAAAAATATACAGCTGCTGCAGCGCGTGATTGCATTGCTTGTGGGGAATTTTGGGTGCCCAGGTTATATACATTTATTTACAAGAAACAATACACAAGGAAATTAATTAATTAAAGTGACTGAATGGAAAGGGATAATAATAAAGAAAGAAAGAAAGAATTAGCCAACTGCCCTGCAACTGCAAAAGACAATGATTGGGTATGGATGGTGGTGGAGGTTTTTTTTCTTTTTTCTTTTTTTTTTGAGTGGATGATGGTGGTGTAGGTGGCCTGCCCCAGTTGCTAACTCTCTCCAGCTTCCGACGCTGACCCTGTTCGCTTGTCGTCGTATTATTTCAGCGAAAGAAAATTATTTTTCTCTCACAATAAATTAACAATTAATGCTTTCAATCATAGTTTTTTAACAAAGCGAACAGAGCCGATATCCTCGACATGAGCAGTCGGGCCGATACGGTATTATTTCGTGGCTGTCTCAGTCTCTCTACCTTTGGAACAATCAGGAAACACTCCTGCCTTAGCCGTACCCCGGTACCCGTACTGAGTCGGCCCATGGCTACACCGCTACGCTGCCATGTGCCGGCTGCCTATTAGAGACCTGCAAGGGAAGAAATAAGTTACGCTGAGAAGGGCTTTGCAAGCGTTCGGACGTCCAGCGCGTGGGACGTGTTCGGAAGTCCGCACCTGCTGCCCGTCCTTTCGATTTCGTCCCATCAATCAATTTGGCAGCCACTAGTCTCCCGACTCCGATTGTGTCCGTAGGCCGCAGGGCTCTCTTGCTCGGGCCATGTTTAGTTCGGCGGAGTTGGCGCCGCTGGATTTAATGTAGCTACACTGTAGATACAATATTGTTTTGTTTTTATTTGTTACTAATTGTCTAATCGTTGATTAATTAGGCTCAAAACGTTCGTATCGTAAAGTACAACCAAGCTGTGCAATTAGTTTTTGATTTCATCAACATTTAGTACTCCATGCATGTATCGCAAGTTTGATGTGACGAGGAATCTTCTTTTTGCACAGTGCCAAGGTTTGGATTTTGGATGAAACTAAGGGCCTGTTCGCGAACTGAAAAATATTGTTTCGGCTGATTGTTGTGAGAGAAAAATATTGTTCTAACAGGACGTGAATAGTGATTTGTGAGGTGGCTGGCCAGCCGGCAATCAGCCAGCCGAACACGGCCTAAACGTGGCCTCTATCGCTCGTATGCATTGTATGTAGTCATGTTCGCCCGCACACACGCCGCATTTTGCGTCTGTCATGTATTTATTAAAGACCTGCTCGAGCCTTCTCTTTGCCGCCGCCGTCAAGTGATGTCTGACTATTACAACATATGCAACATCCATAAATGATTTTATAAGACGATGCTCTTTTATTAACGGAGGCGGGCATTTTTCATTTACCGAGACGGTCACTTTTGGCCGCCTCCTAAAATCGATTTATGGAGGCAGGCGTACTAAAGCAACTGCCTCAAAAATCCTCTATTTTTGGACGCGGTCATATTAAAGCAACCGTCTCCAAAAATTCATTTCCGGAGGTGGGCACACTATAAAGTCCGCCTCCAAAAAGGCCGCGGCCCGATAACCGTCTTCAAGTATAAATAGACAGACTTAGGGTTTCTGGTTCACTCTCTTTCTCAGCCCGAGCCCGAGTGGCGCCACACTCTCTCACTCTCCCGCACGACCCTCGCGAGCGCAACTCGCTCCCTCTCCCGCACTCCCTCCCTCTCTCTCCGACCTCCTCCCCCACGCCTCCCTCGCTCATCCTTTTCTCTCTCTCTCTCTCTCTCCCTCAACCGCAGAGGCCGCCGAGCGCAGTAGCAGCGACAGGCGGGCCGGCGGCGTGGGGTGCCAATTCCTCGAAGCGGGTTCCGCACCCCTTCTCCACCCCGACGGCGGCGGGCAGCGGTGCGGGTCCGGCACCGGCGGGCGGCGGCGAGGGCCCTCGCGCGCCCGGCGGCTGCAGCGGCGGCGGCACCGGGCACGGGTAGGGGTGGCGCGAAGCAGGTCGCGACCCTCTCTCCCTCCCCTTCTCCACCTTCTCCAGCAAACAGCGGTTGCGGAGGGCGCACCGGCAGTGGAGGCGGCAGGTCTGCGGCGAGGAGGCGGATCCAGCGGGGGCCGCACCAGATCCGGCTAGACCTCCACCGCCTCCACCAGATCCGACTGCAGGGGCTCCACGGAAGGTGCGTCCAAGTGCGGATCCGGTGGCGGCGGCGCGTCCCGGCCGACAGTGGTGGCGGATCCAGGACGGCGATGGCGTGGCTGGGCTCGACGTCGGGCCCGTATGGGCTGGCGTTGGGCTCAGCTATTTTTTTATTATTTTAATTTAATTTACGGAGGCGAGCAAATCAACCGCCTCCGATTGAAGGCGGTTAGATTGCCCGCTTCCATTAATCGTTTTTGCCCGCCTCCTATAGTAGTGTAGGTTTCGTCCCATCAATCAATTTGGCAGTCGCTGGTCCCCCGACTCCAATTGTTGTTTCGGATGTCCGGTGGCCGCATGGCTCTCTCGCTCGATCGCTCGTATGCATTGTATGTAGTCCTGTCCGCCCGCACACACGCTGCTGCTGCGCCTGGCCGCGCGCTGTTGTAGCACCTGTCCGAGCGTTGCCGCCGCCGCCGCGTGCTACTGCTGCTGCGGCTGCCGGCCTGGACCCGCCTACTGCTATGGTACGCATGCACCTACTGCCGCACCCTCTTTGCTTCTTGCGCACGCGGGGACCGCTGTGCCCGTGGGGACCACTTCTGTGCGCCCACTTCTCTCGTCTGCTCATGGAACACTTGCAATATACATCTAAAATAGATGAAACATTTAGAACATACTCTTGCAACACTTGTGTATGGCCACTTCAACAATGCACAACATCCAGATAAAACACTTACAACATCCGTTTGAAACAGGAAAAACATTTTTTTGCGAATAGAAATATTTGAAACATACACTTGCAACATACGTGTATAGCTAGTACAACATATATAGCATCCAGATAAAAACACTTGCAACATACGTTTAAGAAACAGCTGAAACATTTGAAACATACACTTGCAACATACGTGTATAGCCAGTGCAACATATACAACATCCAGATAAAACACTTACAACATATGTTTAAAACAACTGAAACATTTGAAACATACACTTGCAACATATGTGTATAGCTATTGCAACATATGCAACATCCATATATATTTTTACAACATACATCTGGAACATACATATATGTGCTAACATATGAGGACCATACAAATGTTTTATACGTGGCTCTAACATATCAGTCCATACAGAAATGATTGCTATTTTTTTTGACCATGCTACACAATATGATCGGGCTCACATATATTTGTGGTCTATAATTATTTTTGGACCAAAGGCATTTTTGTGCACATGCATGCAGTATAGACGGTCGCCATACGTCGCTCTAGCGGGTCATTTGGCATAGCACTCCATACATGTCGATTATGTCCTCCTCTGGTATACGTGCATATCACGTATTCACATTCTGAGAGGGTGCTGTATATACATGTACATGCACATATTTGTGTTACGTTGGCAAAGTTGTCCATGGATTAAAATATAACCGGGCCCATTGTTTTTATTAAAAAACGGCGCAGGGCTGGCCGTGTGGAGCTGTCTGTCCGAACCCGCTTATTTGGATTAAAAACGTGGGGCGTGCGGAGCAGTCCGTCCGGACGACCGCGTCCAATCATTTCCGCATAAAGAAAGAATATTTTTTGAGACAAACATAAAGAACAATTTATATACTATGTAGTAGGTTAGCAGGCTTAATTGGCCAACTTGTGACCGTGTGCTGGGTCGAGCTGGGCTACTTGTTTTGTTGGGTTGGGCAACAAGCTAAACATGATTGTGACCGTGCGCTGTGTGTGCCTTAGGCCACGCCAAATTAGACAGCGGGCTACGGCCTATCCCATGCTTGGTATGCATGCTGGATTGGGTTGGACTAGCTTCTTGCACTTCGAACCTAGCAGATAGAGATGCATGAACTCAGAAAGATCAACAAGAAGTCAGAGCAACCACTAGAATTTATTGATGACAGATGACAGATCAATAAGGATTCAAGCAGGTTTGTCTATGAACGCGCAAATAGACTAATTTTTTTACGGGTTCTGCGTGCAATCCATAAAATCAAGGTGGATACGAGCCCTCTATGACAAGTTCATCTGCTACAACAACTATAGCTACTCTAGGATGGCTCGGGTAATTAATTTAGTAAAGTCTTAATACTTCTTATAGCTACTGTGAAACAGAGAGATGCCGATCTGGCGATCTTTGCAGGTCGAGACTTAGGAATAAGGGTCGCCGTTGGATCGTAGATGGACGGTGCTGGTGAAGTAGCTCAACCATTCTTGAGTTGTGCAAGACTGAATGACAAAAATGAGCTTGACAATCCCTAAGATTACATTCGAGAGATAGCTACATATCAGTGCTGGGCCTCTCACATCTACCACATCCTATACTAGGCCCATTTAGAATTAACTGACTTGGGCTATTCTTTCCACCT